TGAGGGTTCCTCCGTTATCAAGCATGACAAACCGATAAGATGTCATCCATTGGTACGTTCCATATAAAGAATATACAACACATTTCGATCACAGTAAGGCAGCACTTCGTTGTCGTCCTGTTAAACAGCTTTAAGTCAAAATATAGATGGGAACAAAGTGAAAGCTGAAAAGCCACTTGTGGATTTCTGTACAGTTAGCTAACCTGTGTATGCTCATGAAGCGCTTTCAGGAGTCACCGATCCGCTGTAAGTTGCCATTTTAGCTTGATGTTCCAAATTGTACGGCGCAGTCAAAACTAAGACTTTCACCATCTGATTAACAATTCCACGAAGTACACTGTCACTCCCCACCCAGTAACGTTCATTGCAATTTTAAAATTCAGTTCACTATAAATGAAGTTTGTAACTTGTATGATGATGCATACAAGACACTGAAAAGATGCTAACATGCAGGTCGCTATTTTTTTTGCCTAGGTTGCGAATGTTTCGTCCAAACCTAGTTGTCGTGCTGCAGAGTAGCAGTGCGTGGACAAGTTATCGGGTTCATCGTGTAGTGGTACGTATCTGTTTCATATGGACTGTTGACCGAATCGATAATGGGTTACATTTGGTTTTCGGATGCTAGACTTGCTGGTTTGTCGATTAGTCTGAGTAATGCTTGGCATTGTTCTCATGCTTGCTTCACATCGTGTCATAGCAATGTCTTTAATCCTGTGATTGATGAGATAGCAATCCGAACGATGAAACGTCCCCTCATTTTCAGATCTCACCGAGTGAGTACGATTCCGATCCGAAATATGCGACAGATATCGATTTCAACTTTCAAAAACGCACGAAACCCAAGTAAGCTGAACAAAGCCATCTATTTTATGAAACTGCGTCCACGTAGTGAAAAGTCATACAGTCTTTGAACATACCCCAAAATACCCAAGAGGTGAGACGGGAGGACGTGGAACACCAAAGGTAAATCACAACGTGCAATGACTCTGTCAATAGTGTGACAGACGAAGCCAATCTACAAATCTGAAGGCCAGAATTGTGACTACTAATCAGTAAAACTTATGGCATCAAGAAAATATACCGATACCGATGTGCATATTAGACTACAGTGCGGGTATACTTTTGTTTGCTTGCAAGACTTAGCCACTTCTTTCTGAGGGTCTGACAATTCTTTCGGTATTTTACCACCGATGTCTGAGAAGTAACGGTGAAATCGACCTCAAACCGCGAATTTGCTGTCAGCTTACCAAGAACAGAGTCTTGCACTGCTTATCTTGAGTCTTCTTACAAAAGTGCATGGAGACCTAACCTGAGAAGAGCAAGGAGAATTCCGGCAGGAAAGGGGCTGTGTGCATCACATCCCACAACCCACCGGATGTCAGAGCAGCGGTATGCTTACGGGCGTAGAAAAGTTGCAGTGTTACTTGACTTCGATAATGCATTAGTTTTTGAAAAAGTTTTCGAGCTTTTCAATATGAGTCTGTAACACGATACGGCCTAGCAGTTAGTGAATATCATGCACTCTTCGCAATCATGTTAAAGGGCGTAAGTTGTGGGATAGTAACTCTAAAAGTTTTCCCACACATAGTTATTTGCCAAAACGCTGTCCAGTTTCCCCATTTTTGTTTAATTTCGTCATTTTTGGAATTATGCGGTGACCATGACCGAGCTTCGAAACTTCTCCATTCCAGTCTCTCCGAGCGGGAAGTTTATCAAAATGAAATATGTAGAATGGATTATTCTCATTGGTGAAAATGATCAGAAAATGTAAAAATAAAAACTGACCGATGTCATCCATTTCTCCCACATATGTTTCGCTTCCACCTTGTGAAAAGTGGTTCCGTGGTGCATGCAGTCATTGAGAATGGCTGCAAGAATTCGCAATACTTAGAAGAGAAGTCCCAGTGACTCTCACGGTAGTGTCATACACGAAGCAAATCCACAAGCCTCAAAGACCAGAACTGTGATTACCAATCAGCGCCACTTGTGGCATGAATAAGCATACCACTGCGTCTCAGATGACTACAGTTCATGCCGTACTGCTGTACGCCCACAAGATATGGTCACTTTGCGCTGAGTTTCTGATACATCTTCGGGTAACCGATTACCGATGCCGGAGAGCTTTTGGTTGAATCGGTCACAATCCGGGAAATTGCAGTCAACATATCAGGCAATTCAATCAAACAGACTGTATTTCACTAAGAGAGTGTGTCCAGGAGTGCAGGTTACGTTGTATGGGTCAGGTTTTGCGAATGTTAATTCATGGTCTGCCAAGAAGGTGCTGTCATTTTTTCCATGTCTAGTCACTAGTGTTGAAATCCTATGCGGACGTAATTCAATGTGGTAGAAGAGAATGAAGTATGTTACGAAGAGTTTGAATGCTTTTTTGCTATTTGCCTTTCATGATCGGGTCCACCTAACCATGTATTTGTTTGGATGGAAACACTGAACGATGTGGTGGCTAATCGATATCAGTTTCGTTCATGTTGCCGTTTCTTTGGAGATTTTCTGAGTTGGTGCTAGAGGTGCGTGGCCCCTGAATTTTCAAAACACACTAGCCCCATTCCCCCTTGCGGCCCATTTTCTCCATATGCTGATAAACAGAGTAATTCATTGGTGTGATTTTTTATGGTTGTTGTTACCAATGCTGTTGATGATAACTTTGACCATCTCTTTTTCTGGTGACTAGGAGTGATGCCTCTAGAAACATTTGTTTGCTACCTTTCAACAGCCTGCGTTTACCTGGCCTTTCGTTTGATACACTCGTCGTCTGTTATTTTATCTGGCGTAGTAACTATATCAGTAATTCCAGGTTGTGACTGGTTTTTCTGTGCCTAGGAGTCCTTTAGGTATTCTTGCATGCGGAATTGTTCGTCTTCTTTTATTACCACAACAAGGTATTTTTCTAAGGGCATCCTGCCCAGGTGATAACTTCGTTTGTTATTCTCGCGTAATTTTTAGAACTGATTTTGTTCAGCTGTTGACAGGTAGGCTTCAGTTGGTACACACCACCGCGTTGTATCTTAAAGGCTTTATAAAAACAATCAAAACGAAGCTTTCACCTCCTGCAGTGTTCGAAATCTCAGTCTCCGAACTTTGTCTGTGGATTAAAGTTTAAAAAAAACTTATTTAATCTGACCCTATAGTCCTATTTCACTGGAAATCGATCCGATTATCACTCGGCTACGTTATGTACCAAAGGCAGCAATATATTTCGGATCTGATTAAGGCTCCATGCTATGAAATACCAGATAAATCACAAGGTCATTTTGGAAATTAAGTTTGGGCATTGCCGTTGGTTCTCCCTAAATAACGTTCATGAAGTTTGCATCGAGTAATCGGTTGACGAATTCTGATACATGAATATCCACACTTTCTCCTGCAGAAATTTGTTCTCTCTAGACTGCACTCCCATTTGCGTCTGGCTCTAGTTGATATAGACATCATATAATCGACCGCTGCTTTCAACTCTTTGGACCTGCTCATACGTTTGCTGAGCTTGAATGAATTTATTGGATGATGTGAGCCCGCCTATTCCCGTTAAACAGGTTCTAAGGTGGCAGTAACTAAGCTGAATTTTGTAACTCTGTCAGTACTGAGTCTTCTAAACAGTGTCAATCATTTTTTACTGATGCAACACAAGCACTCTTCCACGACACCACTGTGCTGCTGGTTTATGCATGGCATTAGAAAACAGAGTTGGGCGTTTTTATGCCATCAATAGTCATTCGCCCCGGGATAGTTGGCTCACGTTAACATAAGAGGCAGCTAAGCTGCACTTGGTATAGCCGTTGAATATAATGTATGGAGATGAGAAAACAGAGAAATTCCACGTTCTTTCTCAATTCAAAAGTGTCCCTTACATCTGCACAACAACAAAGGTGCCGTATTGTGAGAAATGTCAGAGGTGGACTGCGTTAAAGATGTGACTGATATTCATCGGAAGGGACCAGGATATTGGGAAAGAAATTATATTAACAAAGCATTAGAGTGATATGGAAACTAGTTTCGGTGGAACCAACATGCGGAAAATATTGAAGTAATATCTCTAATCAAAATCTTGGCTTCATCGGGTTCGGCGGTGTTTGTTTTCAAAGAAAATAAAATCCTTAAAAAAGTGAAATTATGGCGATGTTAGCAAGTATACGTCAGCTTTGAATAGCAATGCATAAAGCAACAAGTGAGTCAGACTGAATCTTTATGTGTTATTCGAGTTTTATATTTAGCACCTTACTAGTGGCCACCAAAGATGAAAGTGCATTACCGTTTCTGTAGAAGACCTATGAAACCACGTATCCATCAGAGTTGCATATCGGTTCAGTCAGCCAATACATTAATTCAGCATAATCTGAGAGATTATAGTGTCAGAACTCAGTCTCTGTAGCAGAAGGCTTAAATTCCTTGGCCATCAATTATGTAATCTGTACAATAAGGTGAGCGCCACTCGAATTGAACAACGATAACTCCTACCCTCAGGTAATGCAAATCCGACAGTCTAATGAATTATGGAGACCTACCTAACTGGCTTACTGGTTTTCTTTGAATGTGAAAGAGGCTAAGTCAACGTGGCCGTTCATTGAACGGGGATTCGCCCAGCAACGTAGACTCAGCAGACGTTTGATCCGATTAGGTAGAATGGGCAGTGATGTAGACAGCATTTTTCCGGTCAGGCAAAATTGTCAGTCCGGTCTAGCCTTTTGTCCGTGATCAAAAAGCCCAACGTCATGGACAATACCACCTAATTTCCACAGAGTAGATGATGCTTGGCGGCTCAAGGATACGACAACGAACGGAAGTAAATCCTTGGGCTCAAAGTAAATCAAGCTGTTATTCATAGAAAACACTTTGTCGGAATTTTTAGTTAAAGTTTTCAAGCACCTTAAATAGCTTTTATCAAACTGGTTTTTCATGCATAACGGAGGTGTTTTGTACGAATTAAATAGAATTTTGCTACTTTTACTGTGTCAGACTTGCAGCAACATTCCGGAGAAATCTTACTTTCAGCATCTTTCTGTGAAGAGAAACATAGGGTTTTATAAAGCATAAACTTACGATTAGGAATGCAGCACCTATTAGAGTTGCCTTGATTTTCATATCTAAATCCATGGGAAAGGTTATTTCAAATATCTCAAGGTTGATGGGAAGGTCTTGAAGAGAACGTGTAGGCTGCTTCGTGATCTGCCCAACCACCACGGTATTATCCACCGACATGGTCTAAATCGGAAATAAATCGGACTAGAAGTAAATCTGTCAATGAAGAGTTTTCTAACAACAACAGCAATGAAGTTGATTCTTTGAGGCCTTAATTATTCTCAACAAACAACATGTTGCGCACACACCCAAAATATATGAACTCATCTTAAGCTGGCAACAACAATGTCATTTGGTATAAAAAGGGAAGTGCAAAAATGCAGAGATGTCTCATTGTGGCAGAATAAAAGCTGCAGAAGAATTTCTGAAATCGCTAAAAATTTTCACACTGTAACTTGCAGATAAGCCAACCGAAAAAAGTACCACTTTTAGCATACGTGAGCACCTACTAACTGTAGCGCGGCAAGTGAGGTCTTTTGATCTCAACTTCGCGTTTGCAAATCATTGCAACTATCGGTTTTGGCCTTAAGGTTCGATACCGAATGTTAGCAGGTTCTTCATGAACACGGAAACACGTCTACGATTAATTGGGGTCTGAGTCCAGGTAAAGCACACTTATGTCTAGCAAACCAGAAGAGTGAGTTACTATGAGGATAATGGATCTTTCGGAAACAGACTAAATATGGAGAGGTCCCTTGACACTTATATTTGCGTCGTTCTTTTTTAATAATTTCCCCTATCCTTACCCTTCCACTCTGGTGAAAAATGGGTACAGGCAAAGACTTGGTTTTCACTCTTGACAGAGCTAACGTCCAGTGCACATTATTCACCGGTGGTGTGAAATATTGTCCATGCGCTTTCTTTTTAATTACTATGTTTTGGAGTCCAAGATGACAAATGGGAATATAGAAGCTATTTCATTACTATTCTGCTGGCTGTTTTATTGTCGAAGAGTTTGAGACCGCTCAGTGTACTGTGTACTTAAGGACAGTTCATCAGAGAACCTAACCAAGGCTAAATGTTATAGTTCAGTTTGTCAACTACTCGCATTACTACACAAAGTGTTTTTTCTATATTCAATGTACTGGTTAAGTTACTTCTTATAAAAAGTTGAGCCACCTACTTGAAAACTGACATTTCTATTGAACCCGCAGCAGCGACAGCTTGATGATTCATGGATGCGTAAAACTGTATTTTGGTCGGCGTCTTTCACCAAGAATCGAAGTTTGCAGCCTTCTCGTACTTCTTTTACATAACCAACAATTTGACCGACTGGAGCTTCGACTTCAAGCTCATTTTCACAGTAAGCTGAACAACTAGAAATCAGAAATTATCCAGTGAGCAGGGTTTTGGGATATCGGGATATGAGAAAAGATATAGCATGGTTTACTTGCAAGTACCATTACGTAACTGAACCCTAAATTAACGGTAGTTTTATTCGAAATACCATTCACGACTGACTTGTTTACTTAAAAACAATCAAGGTTCTTTTCAATTAAGAAGGCCGGTAACTCATGGTCGGTTTCTCTTCCTGAGCCTCACGTATCGTGCGCAAATGGAGTAAAATTGCATCTTATTTCTACTGTATCTATCTAATGGCAGCAAATTTTCAGTACGTCGTCCATACAACAGAAAAATCACCTGAAACAGATCCGTTTTGCCGTGGGCATTGCAATTCGGCATTGATTCCATTGGATGACATTGACCAATAATAAATATCATCAAACGGTTCTGTATGAGCTACACATAGTATGCATCTAGTATACTTAGTATATCTAGTACGTACCGACACTGAAAATTTAAATTCCTTATAACGGGTGCTGTTTCCCTTTCTCCGACAATTTTGTTCAGCAGTGATTTTATTTGTTAATCCTTAGCCACTTAGTATGAAGATGGTTTTCTTACTCAAGAACAATATGCCACTCCGACCATGATACTGGAAACAGCAGGCTTATGAATCCGTATTAGGTCACCATACAGCAGACATTTAAATAAACGAAGCAGTTACAAAGCCACGAGGACATTCTAAATAGGTGTCAGCAAATGGTTTTCTACAGGGTGCTATAAGCAAAGTAACACAAAGGACGTTGTAGTTTTGTCTATATCGGAATCTCTATTAGGTCGTCAAAAGGATTATTATTTTACATTCTTAGTACGCTTACCTCAAGTAATGCCAGAAGCAGTGATATTTATATGTGTGCTTTATACGAATCACTTCAGCATCGGAACTGTCCGTCACGTGCACAGTGAACGGATGTACTGGTGAACAAAACGGTTTGCTGGAATAATCGGACTCTATAAAAAGAAAAGTAATTTTTGTGTCCATTTTTAAAACATAAATGGAACAGATGAATTCTGAGGGAGAAACTCCGCAAAGTTGGTTCGAGAATCGGTTAACGCAATCACATCAGGTATGTAGAAACCCATCCTCATTAATGCACATCCAGCAAGCCATTGGTCTTAGTAAATAAAAACAAAAATCAGAGCGGTCGTTGGTTTTTTCGTTGAGCTGGGTCGTTTGGACTTTCGAACTTGTTCATTTTAGTGGAAGATTGCGCCCGCCAAGTCATCATAATGTCCTTTTGGTCTACAGTATCCCTATGCTGCATCACAGTTATCTTCCCAGCAACTGCTGGTGTTGCTGATGTACGGGTGGCAACTCCAAACGTGTGAGCGAAAAACCCGAATGTGGTGAGTTCCAGCTGCAGCTCTCGCTGATTCAGACTTCCCTGTCAAATAAAAACGGGGCCGAATGGACCAGCTGACTTTACAGCGACTCACTCAGTTACAGTCTGCTATGGGGGACAGCCGACCCTGATGTACGGTACAACTGGATCTCCGTTTGTTGCGTCTGCATAATAAGTGTCACATATGGACTGTATACAGGGCAGCCAACCAACCGGGCAAGGAACTTACATGGTATCAACTGATTCTAATCCATCCCTCATTTCTGTGACAGCCAGCAATGGTGCCACCGACGGCAATGAGGTTATTTTTCCACCAAACACAGAAGCAACCAGTGCTACATCCGGTACTGCAGTTTTTGGAAGTCCTACAGATGGCGTTATGTGTGCTAATGGACTGGATGGAAATCCAATGGGGTCACCAATGGAGGTGACATCATCAACGCATTGTTAAAGGGCGCAGTAGAGCGTAGCAAAATTTACTACAATTGGGTGACATCAAGTCACAACGTCGTTGATCACTTTGCTACTCTGCTAGCCAAACCTGCACACATCGTTCTACTCAAAGTTCTTATGTCAGCAGACTGGGATCTTTTATATCATTTCACAGATCGATAATCACCGGCTATGTGTAGATATCCAGCTGTATTCTCGATAATACTTGTTAATTGCCGTGATTTCAGTTGGAATCGAATACGGGTGGGAGTTTTCTTACTGACTGTTTGGTTCATTTTCATATAATTGTAATTTAAAACAGATATTTCAAAGGCGAGGAATTAATTCGTCTCAAATGTGCACTCCGATAATCGTGGAGGGTCTGCGCGATAACTTTTCGGTCTGATAATGATCAACTTTTTGGTTTGAATCTGTCTTAAGCGTTTCTCAGTGAATATGACGCCCAGTGAAAATAAAACGCTTGCTCTGTGCAAACCGAAGTCCACAGACTCCATATTGCAAGACCACTTTGCTACTGACAGATTTTTAATTTTTAAGCTTTTATGGCCCAAAATCTGTTCCTTTGTTTGCTGAGCCTTAAACTGTTGAGGACGATCTGGTGTTGCTTAAACGTTTGAATGTTAACCAAGCTTAGTTTGACAGGTTTGTATTTCGTAAATGTCCAAGGGCAAGTGCAAATTTTTATTCAATTTTTATCAAATTATAAATTACTATCAAGTGGGGTATCCTAATGAGGAAGCTGCTTGGTAACTACGGTGGTCAACATATCTGTTATCGCCTACTCACTGATGTTCCTGGTAATGCATCATACTATGGCATAAGTTTACCTTACTGCTTGAAGAATTAACTTGGGTGCTTTTGCCTAAGGGCAAAAAACGACAGGTATCTGAATTGATTTAAAGTGGGACCCTGGGTTTACGGCTGTAGATCACAGATTGGGATGAAGAGGTATGTGTTTGCTGCGTGCAGCTGTTTCAACACGTATCAGCCTACCAACATATTCGTCAAACAAACTTGCACAAATGTGAATCGAATGACGTTGCTCAATTGATAAGCTACACTTTGCAGCTTGTGAACGAAAGGTTCAACGAATTGTTACACAAAGTATAATAAAGGCACGCCATAATTTAGTCATGCGCAAAAAGCGCCTCTTCGCGATACCGTTTATTTCCCAATAGATGCATGCCAAACAACGTTAGAAACATTTTTCCAGGGATAAGTTAATTGAAGGTAAAATCGCTCCAAAATACAGACATGCTTTGTAGTGGTTGACGAGCGTTAAGCGTTGTCGAATCACGCATTTTCGCCTAATAAAAATAATCTACTTAGTGTGGTTCTCATCAAAAATACCTAAGACCAGCTTCATGCCTGCCCTGTCTGACTGCAACTGCGGCACAGAATGGAGAAAAAGCTGGTTTTGACCGCTTTACTGCTTGCGTTAAGTGGAAATGAAACGACAATTCTTTTTAGTCCTAGTTGTTTACAACTAAAATCATATAACCCTGTCATAATATCCGAAGGCATCGCAAAGTTTCGTTTATTGGTACTGTTCAGTTCTTAGCAGGCTCGTAACTCACGGCTGCCCTTCCCCAAACGAGCCTACACGTAATTTACACCAGTACACTGGGTTATTACACATTTATTGGTTAAAGCAGAGATGGGCGAGCGTGGCTGATTATTCCTACTGTTCTACACGGATGACGAATATTTGATGAATGAGACCTGTCTATGGCTTTACACTTTTATGATGCCTAATGGAATGACACCGTCATCCGAACTCAAATTAACTTGTCATTGCTACGACTTGTAAAGTGTCTAATGTAGAGCAGTAATATGAAGAGCCATACTTTACAGTTGATATCTGAATCATGGAAATGTGCATCTATGAATAGCTGCTAATGCCATTAATATTTATGACGTATGACACGGTCCCTTGAACATTTTGGGACTGATTTACTTCCAAGGGTTATCCACCTGGAGATGGTATTTTGGTCCGACATGGTAAAAAATTCACCTTTAGTACAGCTGTATACAGCCTGGCCCATCTTGTTTAGTGCCACGTACTTGTTTGTTGATTCAATGTTCCTCAAAACTGAAAATCAAAATACAATAGTCGGAAAACGAATATATCATTTCGTGGGTGCTTACATCACTGAACAAATGTTACAGTCATTAGTATACTAAATAATATGTACTAACCATTGAATTTGACACATTTCAATCATTATTCACATATTTCTTTAATAGCCAGTACGCATACATGCTGTGGGCTTAGAAAGTTTCCTCCAATAATTTCAATGAAGCATATAAACTAACGCTGAAGACAAAGAATTCGCTTCGTCCACACGTTGGACAATTTGCAAAAACGAAACACAGTGAAACGCACTCACCTGCAAAAATAAGTCGTTGTTAGTATGAGAGCAAGATAAATCCCATGTGAACACCCGCGTTGTCGTACTTTCTAACCGAATGTGTTACAAAAGGACCGCCAATGTTTCACCCGGTACGATATCAAAATATCTAGTATATAGGGTTGCTGGGTGTACCATTAACGGGGGTTCAGCTGGGAATTTTGTTTATTTTCCCGCCAATACCAGATGGTTTTGCTGATAAATGCATTTTGCTGACGGCCTAAAACTAGTTTTCGTGTGTAACATAGCAACCAGGGTAAACCGATTGTTGTTTATTGAAGAGCTTTCATCAACATTATAAATAGTAGTGGCGGTACAGTTATTTTACGTTGATGTGGCGCCAAAATAGCAGATTTTTATCGCACTGGAACACTAGTGAATTGCGTGAACTTTATACTCGAGGCTTCACTAGACAACACCAAGGAAATTTAAGGACAAAATGCAATGGCATCTCAACCGACAGTTAGTATCAGGTGACTTGAGTGCTTTCGATAAACGATCAATCATACTCAAAGGTTCTGCACCTCTGTTCGAACTCATTACATGAGTTGATGACCGCGCAAAAACTGCATGGGCAGATCAATCCTGTTTTTTGCTGAGTATCTGATCACCTCTTTCAGGAGGATTTGTTTTCATTAGAAAAGTTCAAAGGGTTGTTCCTGAATCTTTTGCCAGTGATTCAGACGAATTCTTCATTTTTATTAGATTAGATTTGTTTATCCTTATCACAATAGCGCACTCACTACTAAATAGCATCTTGTTGGTGCAAGATTAAATATTGAATTAATTTGTGAGCCGGTGCTCTTCTGTTTGACTTATTTAAATTCGGTTGATCGAATTAAGTCCTTTGGATCCTTTCGTAATCTCTAAATTTTACCTAGTTTAAAAAATGCCACAATCCAACTGTGGCAGTGGGTAGAGACAAAAACCTGTTGGAGGTTGTACGGTGTTACTAAAATTTAACCTAATAATTGATATCGCGCGGGGACTGAGATTTTATTGGCTTACACACCACCAAAATCTATTGGACGGTCGATCAAACTAGTGTATTATTTCATCGAAAAATAAATACTGACTTTAGGCGGTCCCGTGGTCCACGAAAACCTGGTCATTATGGACTGTTCAACTGAATGCCTTAGGCAATCAGAATTTAGAAGGCCATCACTCATTATTTTTGTTCAGGAAAACAGTGATTGACATTTTGCATTATCTATATTGTCGTACAAATACATCCACGTGTACGATTTCTGAAAACTGACCCTAACTCATAGGCGTAACCGGTGTTGTGCTATGGCAAATCGCTTTCGATATCCATAGAGTCACATAAAAATAAAGCTTATTCCAATCAATAGCTTGCAATATATTTCATCTACTCTTTGACCTCAGAGGCTCATACTGCATTTTCCAGCGTTTCATTCCGTATTGAAAATATTCGTCCCAACTTGTGAGAAAATCTACGTCCAAAATAGATTGGCCTTAGGGATGAGTATATTACCGTAACCTGGGAGTAGTACTTGGGCGTGCCTATTCTCTCTTGCAGCTTGAGGCTTTCAGTTTGGGCACAGCCTCCAAAATCCAACTTCTGTCCTTCATGAACTGCATCCATTTACAGAGCAATTTAGTCCTCACGGGCAAGACAACGGAATTCTAACTGACTCCGTTAGTATATGATATTGTTCAACTGAATGTGCTTTTAGCTTGTTTAGTGGACACTCGTGAGTTATCTCAGAGGTTTCTGGGTGAATGTTCAGATATCCGCAGTGTATAAGGAGGTTTGTTAGAGCCCTTTGGTGACTGGGGAATAGTAAACTATTGCTTGTTGCTAAAAATGAAGATAATTTTGGATCATCTTAAGAGTACCCTAAAAAGCTATGCGGTTTCATCTGAGAGAGTAAATACTTCCTTTCAGTTTGCTTTACTTGAAGTAGTGTGAACGCTCTTTTTTCTACACGAACAATTGTTGTTAAATATAGAAGAATACTTTGAAAGTATAAATGAGGTTGAGGTTAGTTTCGAATTTTAGCCTCTGGAGATATGTTTCAATTCAAGGAGACACGCGGAACTCAGAGCGAAGGGGCTGTGTTTGTCAGTTTGGCGTAAAAACCGTCAGTTTGAGATTAATCATCCACGCATGAGCATCCCTGGTATTGCTCATTGAGTAAATTCCGTGAATTTTCTCCGAATACCTGAAACTACAATTAAATATACCTCTATGGTACACCTGGCAATGAAATGATCATTGCCACTTTAGGGAACGAAGGTTATTGGATTCCTAATCGATTCCAAACGATTTAACTTACAAGAAATATCTGAATCCAAGAACTTAGTTATCTGTTTTGAGTAAAATCTTCACGGGACTTACAGAACTAGATTTTCTTCAGCGTTATTAATTAGCCATGAAAATATTGGGTTTCACAGCTAAAAATCATCGACACTACTCTTAGAATTTGCGTTTCTGCTCACAACGGGATCCGCTCCAAACCGCCGTTTTGCGCCCATCAGGGCTGCCGATAAGACGTCAAGGACAAATACGGAAATTATTTTATTGAACATGTGTGCGACACAATGCCTGTTGTTGAGTAACCCAGGATAAGTGACCACTGCTCGTTGGTAGTTTCAGTAATTTAAGTCACCAAGCTGTGACTCAACTAGGGACATTCTTCCCTGCTATGACTGAGAAACACAAATATCACAATGATTCTCTGTCATTTATTGCACGGACAAATTGTTTCAAGCACACTTTGAAAAATGCTTGCACGACATTTTGGTGTCCATTTTGAGTGACGGCAAACAATTAAAAATGTTGAACTTTTGGGATTGGCCCTGCATCAATACCGAGTCCGGCTTTTCTAATCAATCTTCTCAAGTTTTCATTCACAGAGGAAGCAAAAAACGCATATACATGCTCATAGTAGAGAACTGCGATCCACTAAATTAGTCTTTTATTAGATTCCCTCATGTTTTCAGTTACAATGCAATATACAGATTTCCAGTGCCCAGAAATCACTGTGTTGTACCACTGCACATTTTGTCACCTGATTTGTGAGCAAATGACCTTCTGAGGATATGTTGAACAGTTTCCTCAAGTGTGCATTGTGCACATGCAGACCAATCACTCAGGTTGGCTGTGCAGTCACTCTTTAGCCACTTATGATTGGTTAGATTGCTTTTGAACTTCCTATTTAAGCAAAATCACGTAGATACCAGATGGTTATTGCCGTTTGAACTAAGGGAAAGACGGTGAAACTTTTACGACAGGAAAAGCTATTTTTGAGGACAAACATACCTGCTTTCCTTCTTGATTTATCCTGATAGAACGACTGGTTTTCTGTGGTACCTCAAACGAGACTAGAGTCTGTAGGGATTTTCTAACCTGTTTTCGGAAAAATTATGATTCTCCATTTCCTGTTTGTCACTGGTAAGATCACTTACATTGCCACTCCATTCTCATCACTACCTCCATAACCATTGCCTCTATCATAATTGTAACCATATTCGTAGTCATAAAATTCTGGTTCACGCAGGCAGTGTAATCCATAAAACGAACTGAACTATCAACCAAACGATCATACCTTACTGAGCAAATAAGCTATGGTTTGATTTTAGTGGATCTGAAGAGTTGCCATTGAACAAAGTAACACATGACCAAAATAAAAGAGAACATATACACAAAATTCGTTTTACCCAGCATTGTGTGACAAAGGGTTAATCAGAGAAAATTCCCGGTACTCGTAAAAGTTTGACTTTTGTTGGTGTCCTTGAAGGCGCAGGACTTTGCGACTACCGAACGTAATTTTTCATAACATATTGTGCAGCAATACTCTACTATAATTAACGGTGCCAATATAAAAGTGCAGACCCACTTTCAATAAGGTCCTTTTTCTGTTTCACGAAGAGCTGGTCTATTTGTGCAAGATATTCCAAGCCTGATGGACAACCGGGCACCGTGGGCTTGAGCATCCAGGTTTCTGATTTATGAGAGAGAATTTAAGGGGGAATCTCACTTTTAGTATAGTCATTGTAAGCACAGTAATATGAGCTACTTGGAGGCTATTCAAATTTAAACTGTGCCACCTCATGTCGAAACAATATTATGATAAAAAGATGAATGTTTTTATGTCTGGTACAGACGCCAGACTCTCTGTGATCTTTAGAGCTGACAATGACCTCAAGGAACACCAGGTGTTGGCTCGCAGCTTTTTTATTCACTGGTATAATTGATGGTGATAAAAATCGCCAACATGTATATACGGGAGTTTTGAATCGACTAGCAGACGAAATAATCAATATGATAACTTGATTATTAGGCCGTCCTTTGAAATTGGTTTAGACAACCCGAAACATCCATACATAGGTGGTTTGTTCTGATGAGTCTAAGAGGTTTGACAGAAGGAGTGTATTTCTTAGCCACTTTGTCTGCAAGTTCTAAGTTTATTTTTAACTTCTGGAAAAAAAAGTTTCGACAATGTGTTTACTGTTGGTGCTGCGCTTTGGTTCTGGCCACGCATAATCACCCAAGTACACTGGTTTGAAGAGCTGTTAGAAGCGCAAAGTTCAAAAGATGTACTGGTTAAACGAAAAGCCAGTTTGTAAGACTGACGCTAGTCTCCAGATAGCGGAGAACCCAGGTGATCATGGTACTCGTAGTACAGAGTAGACATTATGCCTGTGTGCTTGCAACACTGAAGAGGTTTTTAAAATGTACGGACATATGTGTCATAAACAGTACGGTAAAAATATCTGGATACGACCACGTCGCAAGCACTCTACTAAGTAGGGTTTCAGGCCATTCCTACCGGACTTCTCCAAACTATGGACAAGCTTTGACCTTCGGACACTAAGTAGGTAGTTCAACTGCCTCAGACGGGAGAATCTGGAATTTCAAGGTTGTCCGTTTGACACTAACATAGCTTCCAGATTTACCAGAGGAATGCGGAGAATGAACACAGTAAATTACAGCACAATCCTCAAGGCGTGACTTGGCTTACTCAGTGCCAATCAATATCGCTTTCAGATCAGTGATGCTGTCTCTACGAAATGCAAACACATCTATTGGTTGGGGACACCTTGGTTGCTTTTGATGTGCAAGATGCTTTAAAATGAACGGTGAACCGGCGACGGGTGTCAGCAAATTTCTCTCGAATGGACAGGCTGGCGGATTACCAGTAGTAAAGACGTTCCTTGGACATGTCTTTTAGGAGGAACTTATATCTTAGTGTCTTCATGTCAAAAAGCGTCCAGACGCGAAACATACATGTGCAGAGAACCCAAAGTCATAATTGGTAGCACACTTTCCGGAAAGAAGTTGCTTTAGCGGAGCTCACGAAACACGGCTAAACAGCATGAGACCAGCGAATGAGGTTGAAATTGTTCATGGCAGGAACTTCACTATTAGTTGGAGAAAACGGGTAAGAGAATGACCACAAGTGGTCCTTTAGCCATCTAATATACATAGGAAGAAATTCTATGTCTGACCCACAGTACAGCCGTGTTCGGGATTCCCTGTCTTCTCCTTATTGCGAAGTCTGACAGATTCAGTTCCGGCGTAACTAATAGATGGTCACTCACGGTAGGTGTTCAGTGCTATTTAGTGTGGTTTAGGCAGCGGTATCCCAGTCTGTAGTTCAGTTCACAAGTAGATGTAGTCATCGAGCGGTTTATCTGTCATGAAATACACTCTTGGATGCCACAATCGGATCAAAAGTAAATGCATTGCACTTATAAATCAAAAGCTGCCATTCAATAGCAATTTGATTCCGTTACGTAACAGATTGATGCGACCTGCATATTATGCTAGTCGGTTGTCACCACAGAGATTTGCAGCTTACTTTATAAACCTAGGTTCCAAATCACGACTATTGCAGTTGGAAAGTACCATCCCCAGTGAATGTGTTGAGCAGAAACAGTGAGTTTGTTTTACAGATAATGAGGAACTCCCAGTTTATTTACTCGTTTACATTGGCTAAATCAAATTTTTTCGTGTAAATCGTACTGAGTATGTCCAAAGTGCGTGTGTCAGCACTACAGGATGGTTCTGTTGGCTGCGCTGATTGATGTTTAGTTGTTCATAATAATATTAAACATTAGAGGCAAGGGTCGGCAATGCTCAAGAAAAATTTGTCCAAGCACTCTGTTGAGAAACCCAATATGCCGCATGCATCCCAAGCGTTCATGAGCTACACAGAGCGGTTATAGCCAACTCCAGTTTTGATCTCCAATATATGAATATAATTTATCGATCGTTTGGACAATCCGTCCAAGGATTTTTTGCAAATCAGCCAGTTCCTTGATACTTTTTGTCGCTGCCAGAATTCACCAGCGTTTGTGGAGTTAGTGAAATAGTGCTGCTTCTCCACGCCCGTGGAGTTCGGTGGAGTACATTACATAGATTTTTTCACAAACATCATTGCGTCAGTTAATTAAAGCATTTTCCCTGCTGTAGGCCAATATTCACGTTTTATTTCTTCACCTGAGTGGTCCGCGTCCTACATTGACAATTCATTGTTTGACAAATTGGATGCACCATCAATGATCTCGATGCAGAGCTACTTCTGAAAACTGATCAGAATTCCCGTTATGCCAATCAGTGATGCATGTTATCTCCAGTAACTTCAATGCTTCGCCTTAGCGCATACTAGAGAATGATCGGAGTCTACAACGGTATTTCGCTATGGCCAGCAGTCTGGTACCGATCCGGTCTTCTTCCAAAGAGGATAATATCCAAGTCCCAATTTGCAACCGAGACTTAAGTTTGGCCCCAAAGAGTGGGAAGCCAAAGCATTGGAATTAAATGTGATCTGAAGATGTGCGAAACCGGTCGTTGGCTGTCCAAAAATTTTCAGCAACCTTATGAGTACTGTATTACGTCGCCCAGTTCCGTATTTCTTCTGTGTGAGCAAAAACCATATGGTTCTGATAACTATACTAATTAGTAGAAATCACAAGCAAACTGAAAACTTATTCCCTAACTTATCGAGGATGTAATACCTTTTCTGTACATAAGGAAGGAATGAATAAACAGAATTTGCTTTCTCCACCTTCATTTCCCTTGATACAACATTCTCAGCCGGCTTCATACGACACGATATTAACTGGTCACCTCTGAGTTCGGACGTTCCAGCTTATTGACCCAAATCCTCTTTCCGGCGGTGACAAATCTTGATGCCAGAGCAACTAGGTGGAAAATAGTTTCGAGGGGCGTGACGACAACTGCAGATAAGGTACTGTGTGAGAAGTATGTTGGGGTGATTTGGGAAGCGAATGCACGTCAATTTTAGGGAGTGTATAAATGAATGTTCAACACATTTTGTTGTTGTATGGAACTACAGAAAATTCCGGTTGGATATGATTATCAGCAGCGTTCATCCCGTGAACCTCAGAGATTTTTGAACTACTGAAAAGTAGTTCAAGTAGTTGAAGCTAAACAATCCACGCCCAATCTGCTGGTTAGCATTGTTCTTACCCCACTCATCATTCAATTAAGAAATCCACGTCACAGGATTCTAGGAGTATGACTCCTGGAATGGAGGGGGGGGGTTCGTTTCTCATGCGAATTATTCTTCTTTTTGGGTTACGTAAATTTTGTAATTACTGTCATGCATTTTGCAAAATTTTAATGGGGAGTTCTTCCTTTAAGTGAAGCCAATATGCCCAATTTATCTTCAACCACTAACCCGCATGCCACCAGACTTTCTGAGTTTCGTGAGATGCGCACTGCTGACGCTCCCCAATGTGGATGAGACAGCTAGACAATGTTTCTCAACCGCTCACCGTAGACTGATTGAGCTGGAAGGACTGAACCTCTATTAAAAAATCCCAAATGTTTTCACACTATCAGCGATATACTACATATTATGAAAGATCCCGTACTCGAAAAAACGAGTAAAAGGCAAGCTTTTTTAAATAAAGTGCTGGATTCAAATCTTCAAGGACTCAGGTGATACAAAATGTCCCCGGCTGAATCGGTAAACCGATGTATCTATCTACCTAATCTATCTATCTATCTTGTTTATCTATCTATCTATCTATCTATCTCTCTATCTATCTATCTATCTATCTATCTGCCTATTTATCTATGTGGCGTTCTTCAGCAAAAATGGTGCTCGAAATTTTTCTCCACCTAAATTTGGCGTGATCAACTGTTAGACAGCCAACCAAATATGGTAATTTGAGGTTCGAGTTTACGTCCAGCTTAATGGGATGAAAACAAGATATATGATGAGATGAACCAAGGCCAACATGTCAAAAAAATAGCAAACAACTCACCTTGAAGATAATTCCTTAGGGCGTAAAACCCGGGTGTTGTATACGTCGCTCTCAGTGACTGACATTCGTTTTGTGATGGCTGCTTCTCCATCACGTTTTGTGATGATGTTGCATGTTCTTCAGTTGGATCAGTCTCAGACAAACTAGACAGAGTACTGGATCGGGAGCGCGCTGAAAGTTGACGAATATTATTGGTGATTGCAAGACATCAAAAGGGTGTTCTTTTGTATAAGGTCGTAATTTGTCAGACCAGTTTCGTAAAATTTCGTATTACTAAGAACAATTTCGTGGTTGACGGTGAAGTAAATGAAGGTCTTTGCGGTTGTAAGGACGACAAGATAAACACAGAACTGATAAAAGAGGTTTTGGTAGCTGATGGAAGGAACCATATTGCATCACACCTATTCGGACCTTCTTTTGGCCTCGTCTGTTCTACTGGGACTAACCAACCTGGGGAGCTTCACTTCGTAAAAAAATTTCTGTTTTTCTTTCAGAATTTTTAAGCTTGGCACACTATAGACTACATCATGCAACCAAAACCTTACATCACAAGGTTCACGTTTATTTCGTCACCATCGGACTTGAACCCCTTAAGTTTGGCGTTCGTATCTAAAATCGTGAGCCACCTGTTATCACTGGTTGCCTTCGGCGTTTGGTTTGAGAACCTGAGGAATTCTCGGCAAACGAGGAATGTGATTCAAAAGAATTGTGTAGCCACAACTTGCTAACCATTATGGGATACGTATTACAGTGAAAAACCTACCGTATGCACGGAGTGAGCACGGAGTTCTAGTGTATTTCCGCTTTCGGCACAATAACAGAAAGGCTTCCGTGGGAGGTTATTCCCAATTTTACATGGAAAGAAATCTGTCCGAAAATGATTTATATTTTTGTAAGTGATGTCCAAGGATACTTCGGACTGCTAATTCAAACCAAGAGAACAAATCGTCTTAACTGTTGATCAAACCTACTCATTGCAAGAGCCGAAAGTTTAATTGAGACTCATATAGATACTGAATAAAGGCACCGGGCGATTCGCATGTCAAAAACGCGCAAGAGGAATACAAAAGGTTATTACTGTCAAAACAACCCAATCATATAATGTATAGTATATAGTATATGTTCATCATTTCATCGGGAGATTACAAAACCTTTGATATCGAATACCAATGACTTTATATTTGAATTAGGAACATCACAGTTATTACCTGTGAATCCCTATGCTGTACAAGATCTGTTCATCTTTGTTCACTTGCGTCCGGATAACTAACGCGTGGTCTACAAGCCTTAGCTTCCGGAAATAAATCCGCCATTTTAATATCTAAAGAATTTTTTTATAAACTTTCTCAAATTTTGAGCTAAATAGTGACCGTGTAACTGAACTCTCCATTGGAGCTCAGAAAACTGTGGAATTAATTTTTGCTATGATGGCAGGTGCAACAGATGTTTCCACTCAGTATTTCGACTGCCTAAATTAATTGTTTTCTCCGCCGTTGTAATCACGTATCCATTTACGCTCCCAAGATTATTTTTCACTGTGGACGTCAGCCTGTACTACTGGTGCGTTGCATTCAAACATGGAGGAATGCCTACTCATTACGTTCTTGAGAATAGGCTTTGACAACGCCTGACAACTATATTTAGATTTGAACCGATTCTCACTTTGACGTACCCCTCAAGTGGCATTTTGTTTTGCTCTCCACTGCATTTTCTTCTGTAGTTGGTTTTTTTTGGTACGCATTGTCTTGAGTGATATTCACAGTGTCTATTCACCAATGCTTCTCTCATATCCAGCCTCACTGCCACCCAGTTCTGTCTGAAACCCATAATTTCGTCGAAACTTTCCTTGTTAATGATTCGGCAATGATGGACCACTACTACGTTGCTGGCTAAAAGTATCAAAAGTTCGATTGAAAGACCTTACACCAGTGAGAACCACTCGGCACATCCAAATCGAAAGATTTTAAATCACACTGAACAATGTTAAGCACAAATGCATCTTTGCCAACCTCTCACAAGTTTGTGATGTATCAACGTAGTGGACTATAGGTTTTTTTTTGTTGGCAAAATTTTCCGAATTTTCAAAGATGATTTTACATACAGTTCATTGGCAGACCACGTCCTATTAATTAAACAGAAAATGGTGACCTGTAGAACCTAATAAGCGAAATGCATTATTTCAGACTAAAATGCCGTAGTATTGTGGAAAGTATAAATGTTTTCGTCCAAGCGGTTAATGCATTAACTTTTGAAATGATTGTTCAAATGACGTGCTTTGAGTTGATTTTTCTGGCAACCATTTCGTTTCACCTTAATACTTACTGTCTTTCAGTAATAGCTTTCAAGATAACGTAGTCACTGGGAAGCTATCCCGAAATTTTGCAATGAAAATGGCTAGTTTCAGTGTGCCTCTATTGTTTTTTTGGGTCTTAGGTTAGTGCCCAATTTATCATTAGGAATCAGTGAGAACAAAGCGACTGTTTCCTTATCGAGCTAATGGCATACTTAAATGAAAATTCCTCAGGAACTTACTTAAAAATCGATGCATGTGACAATATAAAGTTCCTGGTGTAAATATCAGTCTGAAAATTAGTCTTAAAACTAAAACCTTGCGTAATGAAAGGAGATGTCGTAATTTGACGTTTCGGGGGCCATAGGCAACCTTATCCGAAGAGTTTGTACAATTATCTTAATACGGACCAAGTGTGGCCTCATTCGGCAAGGTCTTTGTAAGCCAAAACATTATTGCTAATAAGTGTTTGTGACAGTTTTGTGGTACGCCACAACAAGATCGGAGTATTTGGGGCACGGATAGATGGTTTTTGCAGTAAAGGGTTTTTGTTGAAGGCACAATTTTCGTAATCCAAACACATTTGAAGAACTGAAAAATGGCCTATATGATGGCATGGTCGTTTTGGAAAGCTGGACCTCATAGTGGTGACGACGGTATTTAAACTAGCGTAACTTGGTGATTTTGCGGAGCTACTTATGTGTCAATGCTTCATACTTCTTAGCTCACTAGCACAACCTGCGTGCTGTAAACAGACACGATATTTAGGTTGCGTAGTTTTCATTCGGCTGAGTCACCTGTCTATGCTTGACGGCAGGCGTCTGGCTGGAATAAATGTTTCATGCGATGACACCTTGAGCAAACTCACTGTGCTCGTCAGACTCAGGCAATGTTGCAATATCAGACATCATATCACTTCAAAAAAAATCTAACATGATTGCGATCGCTTTTTATGAACCACACACTTTATTGTAGTCAATAATAAAATCTAAGGGGCACCTAATATGCATCGTCTTCCGACGCAAATACCCAGAATGAAATTTCTCATTACAGTTCGATTTTGCAGGACATATTCCAGCAGTGCGGGCAACCACGCTGAGGCAACATCTCAGGTTCTGTAGAAAAGCTCCGAAGGATTTCATTGAATCGACGCCAAATTAAATTTTATATTATTCACGACCAACATTAACTACTGAGATGTCAGGCTTATTTAAATAACCACTGGACAGTTTCAGTGTTCCCAGTGAGTAAATGTCTATAATATGCTTCGATTGTGAAAGTCCGGAGCTCTTAGCTGCATGCACTGAGAGCTTGAGGCAGTTTATCTGCAGCCAGAAGCATGCCTGAGATACAAACTTTACTTACTGGCAGACCCTATACTCGTCAAACTCATGACCTACCGTGAAACATTTGGTAGGGGAAATCCTTCCCAAAATGTACGGAGAAGCTTTCCATCTTTCCATAGACTTAGCCGTTGGGCGGTTGACCAAGCTTGGTAATCGGCTAATAAAAGCTTCTCCAACATGTGGAAAATCGTCAGCTTATGGATGGAAAAGTTGTACTACACATAACACTGTTCCATTTTAAGCCGCTGAGTAAAAATCCCATAGTTCATTAGTCGCCCACTTCCTTTTAGCTGGAGAAAACAACTTTCTTATAGGCACTGGTGAAAATGCGTACCCGATTATAAGAGCAATGGCGTCTTGAATTCATTCCAACTGTGAACAACGCTCAAAACGCGGATATTATGGTGTTAGATACTCCAGTTGTACTGCCCTGCCCCAAACGTTTGCTCCACCGCTTGGGGGCGGCTTTCTCCGATAAGCAATATGAAGCGAAGAACCAGGTAATAGGATGTTCTTGCATGACTACTCAAAGAGACATGAAATAGTATACGTGCTTTGCCACATACTGTGATACGCAACGAAAGTTCATCAACATCGGTTTCAAGCTTGTGAAAAAGTCCTTTCCGGACTTTCCCCCACGACATTTCTGATTTTGTAGCTGGTTTTGAGCAAAAATATGCGACAGGAATACTACTTGGTTTCAGTTTTTAGGCGCGGGGTTTTACTTTCTAATGATGAGACTGTGCTGGAGCACAAAAGAAAGGTGCGTATAATTATGCCTTTCTAAATCGCTGCCCAATGTTGACATTTTCGGCAATTTTTGTAGGCCGTATACCAAACTAGGTAGCCTACAACGCCCGTGTTGTCTTCTGATAAGTGTTGAAACGTCGGCCTCGTGAATACACGGAAGTTACTAAAATCACTGTCTTCTAAATGGTCAGATGGATGGCAATCTGGTATAGTGTGTTCGCTAACATATACCAGGTGCACTTCTCAGACAACATTTGTCCCATCGGATTTGTGTTTGTAAAAATGCTGCTCTGTTTCCAAGATATACTTTAGAAGGTTTGAGGTGTACTGTGCAGTCATTGTTTCGTGCTTCCAAATGAATGAATAGCACAAGTCTGGTGCATTTCCGCAGACGTCAATTCTGTGGTTTATTGGCTGATATTCAGCAATTATCCAGGGTTCGCATTTGATCTTGACGCAGCTGGGCTACGAATCTTCATAGCTTAATCGCACTTCTACGTTTGGTTGCAGAAACTTCATACAGATTGACATAAAAATGCAGGATTCGCGGACATACTTGCCTTTCAATTGATATTTATCCGCAGAAAGACAAATTCCTCAATTCGTTCGTTTACTTTTGACGTGTATGTGAATGAGGCTTAGGAATTTCTGGATTGGACGTGACTTTGCTGAACTGCACCAACCGAGGGAAATGTAACACTGCCATTGAATCTTCCACGGCGTTATCTAGACTGCACCTGTTGTCGATTAAGATGACCTTTGAAAGCAAACCCCTTCGATTGTCT